AAGAAAGCAGGAGTGTGACAAAGAAAAAAGGTAAGGGTGTATTTTAAATATCAGTTTCTGTTTACTTTTCTTTCTATCTCTCCAAATTTTTAATGATAATCTTATTTATATAGATTCCCAGGTAGCAAGCATTCGTCATTTTGACGTCAATTGACGTCAAAAGACGGGTTGCAAAATCATGAATGGGCAAATTTTACTTTCCATTTATCCAAATTTTTAATGATAATCTTATGTGCAAATTTTTCTTTCCATTTATTCAAATTTTTAATGATAATCTTATATTAGACTAGCTGGTTACCCGGGCTTCGCCCGGGCGTCGTTTTTCTTCAAACGACTTCATTTATGTTTCAATATCTTTATTGTGGACAAACATAAGGAGTGTGTCGGGTGGTTGATTTAAAAACGGTAGTTTAACTTTTCCGCATGAATAATACATTCTAGGTGCTTGAGTTTTAAACTTTTTTGCTTGACAATGATCATATATTGCATCCATTTTCCCATTTATTACTCTCGGATGAAATTGATAATTTGAATCATAACTAAATGCCTCTAATTTCAAATCGGACCGCATAAATGTTTTCATGGATTAAGCATGTCGTAACCGGTCTTTTTCTACTCGAGTTTCACACTATTGAGTCATTTCCACTTTTCTGATATTTCACTTACCGATCAGCGACATCATCCCTTGGTTTACCCGGGCGTTTTTTCGGGAATTTCGAGACTGCTCGCTCGCTCGCGACACAGAACTTCGATATTTCACTTACCGATTACCGATTTTAACCCTTGATTTTCCAAGGCGGTTTTTAATTGAAAAATCTCGGGCGAAGCCCGGGTAACCAGCTAGTACATTATAAGGTTAACCAATAGCAATCCTTGACTCGAGCCCCCGAAGCCGGCTTAAACGTAAAAGCCGCGGCCTGAATTTCAGTGGGATGTCGGCCAGATCGATCGAGATTCTCGTAAATAAGTCAGGAGACACCGCGAGTTCCCGGAAGACATTTTCATGTTGGCGGAGAAACCGCCTCGACATTCAAATACCACGTTAACAACTGAAAGAAAGTTTTATTATGGAGGCCTTTTCTCGGAAGTCGCTCTTTCCGCCAAAAACGGAAACGCAAGAATTTCTCTCGCGCGGCAATCAATGCATGTGTGTGCGAAAAATATTGATATGCGATTCTCGTCTTCTTTCCGTATAAAAAAAACTGTGAAATTCTTTCACGTAGCAAAACTTTCATGCGCTAAAGTCGTTCACGCCTTTTCAGCATGATTTTTCTAAGAAACTAGGGTAAACCGGACAGAAAAATCTCCCTGCATTTTTTAAAATCTGTATTTTACTGCAAAAAAAGCGACGAAATATTTCCTACAGACATTGCGACGTGACCAAACCGTGGTAATCTAATCGCTTACGCTTTAATTTGATCTCATTAAAATGATGATAATTAATTGCAATAATGACGATGCAATAATAACAGATACGCGATAATCAAACGTCAAACGTATTTATGTCGCTACTGATCGCAATTGATCACCTATCTGGTGCCTTTTCACGTTGACGCTCGACGCTTATTTTCAGCAAGCAAAAATCTTCTGAAATAATATCTTTTATTTATATATATATTATATATCCATAAAATATTATTACTTGAAGATATTACTTAAAAATAATTAATATTTTACGTATTTCGAAGTCTATGTTTGATTGTACTGGGACGATTAATGACGATTCAGCGACGACGCTGTATATTAAACAAATTCAACTTCATTTCTTTGACGCTAGCGTCAAAGCGAAACCACGTTCACCTTGTTGACGCTTATTTTCAGCGTCTCATGAATTGGCAACTTTACTGTTGTGTGCGAATATACCTGTGTACTTAGTAGAATTTACGGTTTAATGTCCAAACGACGCTCCAAGGGGTGCTCAAATAAGTAATTCAGATTTTTTTTACGCGTCTTGGGCTGTTTATTGAATCGTCCTCCACGAACGCATCTACGAATATATTCGCGATTTATTTTTACCCCCGCGATCGATCGTAATTTTTTTCCGTTGTTATCATCGGGCTCTCCCGTGACATGAACCGATTACGTTATCGATTCCTGCGGGGCAGGAATAACGGGACAATTAAATCCGTCGCGGGCGGAAACTTCCTTGTCGTGATTGTCGGGTGAGGTTATCACCTAGATGAGATCTTTAACGTGAGGCCTGCCGTGTATGGTGCCGCGGCCGCAGTAATGACATCATTTTCTGGGATAAACCCAACTGTGACTCCCTTAATAGCCTAAGGAAGTCTTCCGTTATCGCCGGAAGAAAGTTCGAAGTTGGTCCTATAAGATAATCGCTGATAAACCGATAGCTCTATATAGGGTGTTCAACCGAGTTGCTTTTTTCACTTCTTCGAGTTCTTCGATCAATTTAGAGAAGTCGATATTTAGAGCAGGTAAATTAACGTTGAAATAATTTCTGATGGATGAGGAAATTAATTCTGGGTAGTGTGAAACAAATTTTCTTTAAGAATACAAAAATTAATATTGAGGTTTAATTAAGCTTATGTTTGCCAAATATGTTAAAATATAAGTTTAAATAAAATAAATTCACTTTTATTCTAGTGCAAAACTATTAATTTGCATAAAAAAGTAAAATTATTATTTCGCAAAATTAAATCGCTCGCGTTTTGCTTCATCATGCAATTATAACACGAAGTATTTCGAAGCATGCGACTAGGTACTGTATTTTACATCAGCTTCACAATAAAACACAACAGCGTTTATGTACAAATCACTACAATTTTATTACAGTTAAAACAATTGTACTTAAATGCAATTCCCTCTAAAGGGTTTTGACTATATCTTCATGCTATTTCCAAAATTTGTTATTCACATTTTATAAGTATCACATTTCGCGAAGTATAGGAATGATAAAGTCGTGTTGCTCCCAGCATTCGCCTCAAGATTTAAGTCCGGTCGTTTCTCTTCCCGGCCGGGGAATACTTTAATACGAGTCCCGGAGATCAAGTCACCCCCTACGAAAGGCGAAAAGGTCACGGGGGTTTCCGAGTAGATTTAACGCTCAGTATAGGTATCTCTTAATATCATCGTCACTCCGCGCTGACAATCGAGACATTTCGTCTACCGCGAGGGGCAGTCCGTGCCAACCTTGACACTGAGAAACGCTTGTTTGCCACCGGCTAGAAGAGAGAAGGAGGAGGAAAGGGGGAGTTGAAAGTCGCCCCTAGCGGACGCTCTTGCGGCGATCACCGGCTAGAGAAGGAGGAGACGGCGAAGAGGGGTGGGCTGCGGTGAGGGCCGCTGCATGTATCGTGTGTTCCGTCATGTACATACGAGGGTGGGCCGATCAATACTGCGGCTGAACACCTGAAGCCGGCTTCATTCAGTCGGCACCTCTCCATTTCATTCCCCTCGGACCCCGCCGCGTCGCGCCACGTCGCGCGATCGCTGTAACTTTGCTACTATACTCGACGGTTATAGTACACGTATGTATACGTGCCTCCCGCAGGGTCGCGATTAGAGGCCGCGGTAGAGCAACACGATTGCGGAGCTTATGTTAGTTGGCTCGCCGA